TATATATATATACATATATATATATATATGTATATATATATATATATATATATATATGGAAAGGATTTTCCGAGAAATGGAATAGCAAATACAAAGACTGAGAGGAACAAATTTAGCAAGCTCACCAAAGACTGGAAAGTCCAATACCATCAGGTAGAGAAAGCAAGAGGAGGGGAGGCAGGAAACAAGGTAGGGGAGGTAGCCAGAGACTGAGGGCTGTTTTAATAACCTTTGTGTCTCCAGGCTTAGCAGAGGCTTTCCCTGAAGCCCTGTGATCCACCAGGCAGTTGAATCTGTGTCTCAGTTAAGTATCTGGATGTGACCAACAATGGTCACATCCAGATACTTAACTGCTTATCTAAATTGCAATAGAGGAAGAGAAACCAGCATGTCAAGAGACTGAGTGGTTTGTCTCAGAGCTTTCCACCGCTCCCCTCATTCTCTCACCATCCCTAAAGACAGGACAGATTTATTGTCTCCATTACAGAAGCAAGCAGCGGATGCGCCACCCTAGTCACAGGGCTAGATGGAATGACGGAGCTCCTGCCCCTGCCTCAGCCTATGGGCTCTCATTCTCATGAATTCTTACTCTGGATAATCTCATCCTCCTCAAGCCCAGAAAGCTTGCTTACTTTGTAAAGACAATTATTTTATAACCATAAAACCCCATGGTCATTTGCACATCTTTCAAATGTCAGCTGAATCATGTAATCTGTATCTAGATTACTTATGATATTTTTAAAAAGATCGAGAAATTAATCTTCCATCAACCTTAAAGTTTTTCTTTAGTAAAAAATAAAAATCAGATGGGTTTTAACATCTGTTACCCAAATAAAAATACGAGTTAGTTCTAAATAAGCATTAGGTTCTATCAAGTCTAATAATATTTTTCCAAAATCAGGGTGGAGGAGATATTCATTAACTCATTCCCCAGCCGTTTTTTTTTTTTTTTTAAGATTTTATTTATTTATTTGACAGAGAGAGAGAGAGCACAAGCAGGGGGAGTGGGAGAGGGAGAAGGAGAGAGAGAGCCCGATGTGGGGCTCGATTCCAGTACCCTGAGATCATGACCTGAGCTATTTATTTACTTATTTGACAGAGAGAGAGAGAGAGCACAAGCAGGGGGAGTGGGAGAGGGAGAAGGAGAGAGAGAGCCCAATGTGGGGCTCGATCCCAGGACCCTGAGATCATGACCTGAGCTGAAGGCAGACGCTTAACTGACTGAGCCATCCAGGCGCACCCCTGCACCCCCAGCCATTCTAGTGATGAATGACTGATCATTACCAGGGCCTTGATGATTTGGGGACACATCTGACTCCCTATGGCTTTCAATTTTTGTTCATAGCTTTACCTTCTGAAGCCACCCTGAGCCATCGATCCCTTTTCTCTCACCTTGACACCACATGTCCCTATTGCCCTCTGCTCATGAGCAGGCGTCCTCTGAGCTCTCTCCAGATGCCGGTTTCCGGGCTCTTCGGCTTCCAGCCTGCTGCTCTGCTGTGGTTCATCAACAAGTAGTTCCATTAAACGTGGTGCCAAGGATTAAAAATGATTACACTTGTGCTGTCTCACCAGCACGGAGACGTGCTATTGAAGCTGTTTTCACTGTTTCTTCCTCATTAGGTAGTGTCTTTTTTATCCCCCCCAACCCCCAACCGCCGCCCTCTGGCCCCTTGCTTGCCACGGTCCTTACTATTTGTGGATAACATCTAGTGATTTCCCTTTTCCCTTTCCCGAAAATGTAAACAGGCTCAGTGTTCGGTCCCTGATCTTCTATTTTCATGCCTCATATAACCTTTGTTCTCCATCTTGAAGCTTTCTCTTTGGGCCTGTGTTTTTCTTTAAGTGTGTGGCATTTGCTACAGTGATCAATTATCCTAGGTAATTGCTCCTCATTTGAGCATCCCTATTCTTTCTCATTAAAGACCAGACAAGATTACTGCCTCTCATTGACCAGGTGCGCCAGATCTCTTACTTGGCCTCAATTTGCCATTTGGCAGTTTAGGACTGAAACAGAGACAGAAGTAAAACCAAGGAATCACTGAAGTAGTAATTAGTTAAGGTTTATTGTGCACACGCCAAAAAAGGGCAGTTTGCAAACTGGGAGCCCTGAAACCAAAACATAAGCTTGAGACTCAGAGAATTTTGTTATAAAGCAGCTTAGGGAGCTCCGAGGGAGGGACGGTTAATTCTTAACAGGGATTGGTAACAACATTAGAATTTTCTTCAATGAAAGTGAATTGGTTAGTGGTTACCTCCTATCAGTTTGGGGGAAGAATTTAAGTTTCGGTTATGATGTTCAGAGGCATAAGCGCGATGTGACCCAGGTCGTTAGCCTCATTTGTCATGCAAAATAAGCTAAATTAAGCTTTGCTTGTATGACTAAACTGGCTTTTGTCTGGCTTAGGAAATTTTCAAGTCTGGTCTCTGTGTGTGCTTGATTTGAGCAGTGCTTTCAAGCTCATTCACTGAGGGGCCTTGTGCTTGCTCAGTGGACAGCTGGCTCCTCTGTTCTGTGCCCGCCCTGCAGTGACACACTGATGTCACCCCCCTCCCCCCCACCAGCTCATTCTTCTGGGAGCCTCCCAGGGATCTGCTAACCATGCAAGAGGGAACACTTCTGTTTGTTGTTGTTGTTATCATTCACTGTTACAAACCCAGTTAAGCTTTCTCTCCTAGTTTCCAGGTATCTCGGGAAGGATGGTCTACTTTGTCTTTCTGAGTTTGTAAAATGAGCTAATGGCCCCTTCTCACCACGTCTCAGCTACACTGGGCCCTTTAAACTCCTCTAGGCGGTGCCTCGTGTCTTGGTTCATGTTATTGGCCACTGTTAGAAATGTGATTTCTTCTTGCTTATCAGACACATCCCCTAAAAATACACATGTTAACAGTGCCTGTGCTGCGTATTTAAGAATTCAGATGAGTCAAAAGTGGGCATTCAGGGAGAGGACACTATGGACTGCTAACTTAAAATTCCAGTCAGCAACCCTTTGGAGATGTAAATTGAGGAAGCCCTCCTTTTGGACAGCTTAATGATCTGTAGTTAATAGTAAGAGGCTGCTGGGCAGATGCCATACAGCTGGGCTTACGTTAGCCTCTCTCAGCTCTCCAAATTACCCCATGATTACAGCCATTGAGATTCAGCATCCTACCCGGGATTCTGTACCCAAAAGCACGAAGATCTGGCGGTGGCTTGTCAGTGTGGCCTTTCTCTGCACACCGTACTGCCCAAGCCAGGGACTGGTGCCTTCTCCCCGGTCCTCCTTCAGGCCGAGCCATCGCCTGCACCGGCGTTAGCTCCCCAACAAGTCTGGGATGAAGAGAATGCTGGACTGAACTTCTTCTCTTACTTGAGTGCCCCCAGTTTCACTAAAGTTGACAGAGACTGCGTGTCCTCTCTTGGTAGGAAAATATAAGCCTGGAAACCATACAGTACCTAGTTCCTGGAGGCAGTTGGCTTGTTTTTATGTCTTATATGTAAAAGTGGCTTGGGTTACTGTGTGTTGGGATGGCAGGTCCATTGAAAAGTCCCAGGGTCTTGTTATCTTCACCCAGAAACTCAGGTGAGTTCAACAACCACCACCACAAAACCACCCATTCAAAATGGGCAAAGGACTCATAGAGACATTTCTTTTTTTTTTTTTTAAGATTTTATTTATTTATTTGACAGACAGAGATCACAAGTAGGCAGAGAGGCAGGCAGAGAGGGAGAGAGAAGCAGGCTCCCCGCTGAGCAGAGAGCCTGATGCAGGGTTCGAGCCTAGGACCCTGAGATCATGACCTGAGCCGGAGGCAGAGGCTTAACCCACTGAGCCACCCAGGTGCCCCTCAGAGAGACATTTCTTTAAAGATGATGTACAAAGGGCCGATGAGCCAATAAAAAGATACTCAACATCACTAATCATTAGGGAAATACAAATCTAAACCATAATGAGGTATCATCCCACCCCCATTTGAATGACTAGTATCAGAAACCAGAAAATAACAACTCTTGACGAGGTTGTAGAGAAATTGGAATCATTGAGCCCTGCTGGTGGGGACACAAAAAGGCGCAGCTGCTGTGGGAAATAGGATGGCAATTCGTCAAAAATAGAATGACCGGGGCCCCTGGTGGCTCAGTGGGTTAAAGCCTCTGACTTCAGCTCTGGTCATGATTTCAGGGTCCTGGGATTGAGCCCCACATCGGGCTCTCTGCTCTTTGGGGAGCCTGCTTCCCCCCCCCCCGCCGCTTCCTGCTTGTGATCTCTGTCTGTCAAATAAATAAAATCTTAAAAAAAAAATAGAATGACCATAAGACCCAGCAATTCCATTTCTGGGGATACACCCAAAAGAATGGAAATCAGGTCTCGAAGAGATGTTTGTACACCCTCGCTCATAGCACCGTTATCCCTCATGGCCAAAAGGTGGAAGCCACCCCAGTACCCACTGATGGATGAGTGGAACTGTGGGTACACCTACAATGAACAGGAGTCAGCCTTAAAAAGGAAGGGAATTCTGACACATTCTACAACAGGAATGAACCTCAGAGCCATTGCGCTGAGTGAAATAAGCCAGTCACAAAACAACAAATCCTACAGGGTTCCACGTACATGAGGCACTTAATGTAGTCAAATTCATAGAAACAGGAAGTAGAATCGTGGTTGCTGGGGGCTGAGGGAAGGAGGCATGAAGAGTTATCCTTCAATGGGTACAGAATTTCCCTGTGACAAGATGAAAAGAATGCCAGAGGTGGACAGTGGTGCAGGTTGCACAGCCACGTAAATGTCTTTAAGGCCACGGAACTGTACACTTAAACATGGTTAAGGTGGCAAATCCTACGTTATGTAGATTTTACCACAGTTTTACCACAGTTTAAAAAAAAAAAGGCTCAGCGGAAGGATGCCATCTTCTCTCAGCAATCCAGGCTGTTGAGGGAGATTAGAAATAAAAGGAGGAAAAAGACCAGCTGAGGTCTTTTTGAATTTATGTGCAACTAATTACAATTTTTTTTTTTTTAACAGAGTCATTTTTCTCTCAAGAAGGGAGCTGCAGCTTTGGGGATCGGAACCGACAGCGTGATTCTGATTAAATGCGATGAGAGGTGAGTACGCATCTGTAGCCTCATTGGTTGGCAGTTTGTGACTCCACACCTGTCTCTCTTAGTCCAGACGCAGGCGTTGACTGTGGGGTGGGGGGCAAACCCGCCTCCATCCCGCCTTGCTGTTCGCTGTTTCTTTTTCATGTGGGCTCTTGCTTGGAGTCCTGGGGTGTCGTTCTTCAGTGCTGTGGAGCCTTCCATGGCCCTTGACTGAATTGGAACCTTTGTTAAATCAGTCACAAGATGGTATGGGGGTGATTTTGTCACCAGGGTCCTTAAGCAACAACCAGCGGTTTGAGCATCGATTTATGGAAGTGTCGTCATTCCAGGCGCCGTGGATGGTGTGAGATGGATGGACCGATTACAGGAGTGGGGACAGTTTAGTAAACAGGAAGTAAATGATGCCCCCAGAAACTCATCCACTTCGTGCCGGAACCAAAGAGCTCTCCTAGGGAAAATCCCTGCCTTACTGGGTGCCCAAACCTCATAGGTAGTCTGGAAATAGGTGTAGGATTAAAAAGCATTTCTAGAATATCCATGTAAATCTTCACTAGAACTGATAAAGAATTAATTTAATCTCTAAAGAATTGAGTAAGCAATTTCACCAAATTAGAAGGAAGCTACTCAATTAGCCATCTGTTTTTTATATGTATTTATTAGGCAGATTTTATGTTTGCCCACCATGTCTTTAGGTTCCAGAAAAGCATAAGGCATCATCCCGTTTCCCTGACAGTCTGTGATCTAAGGGAGATGGGGTGGCACCCGAAGGACACAGTTACAGGGTTGAATCCTGTGGCACAGAACACCTCTTGTGTAGATTGCTAGAGCTTGGAAGGCTCCGCACAACAAGCAAGACTTGTGTTTTCAAAGGGTTTTCAAAGTGAGGGATGAACTGAATGGATGGAGGGGAAGTATGGGCGCCATCACAGAGGGCTGAATCCCACAAGCAAAGCCCCAGAAGTAGGAGTGAGCTTGTGGGGCTCCAGCGAGGAAAGCGGTATGACCAGGGGTGTCCAGGAGGAAGAGCCATGGCAAGCCTGGTGGGCCATGTGGGATGTTGAAGGCTCAACAAAACACACGGTTAAGGATGCATCTCTCTCCGGCAGGGAAAATTACAAGGGATTGCCATTTTCTCGTCCACACTTTTATGTCTTGCCTGATCTGATTTGGTTGTTTGCAATGAACACGTGCTACTTTCACAATCAGAAAGAAAGAGGGATGTTTTATTTTTCCTTGTTGTGGTAGGAGGAGGCTAAACTTAGCACTTGAGTTTGATGGATCAGTAATCAAGGTCACCTGAAAGCATTTTTTTTTATCCGAGAAGGGCATGATGGAAACCATCCTTCAGGAAGCAAGGCAAAGAGAGACCTGGGTCAGTGAGGCCGGCTGTGAGGCTTTAGCATTAAGACAGATGGCAGATTAGAAAAATTGGAGCAAGGCTGGGACATTTTGAAGAAGGAACTGCTTGTGGATTTTTTTTTTAATATTTTATTTATTTATTTGACAAAGAGAGACACAGAAAAGGAAGAGAAGCAGTGGGAGTGGGAGAGGGAGACGAAGGCTTCCCACTGAGCAGGGAGCCTTATGTGGGACTCGGATCCCAGGACCTTGGGATCCTGACCTGAGCCATCCCTGAGCCGAAGGCAGACACTTAACCCCTGAGCCACCCAGGCGCCCTGGAACTGGTTATTTTTTAAGACTTTTCCAAGATTTTTTAAAGATTTTTTAAGACCAGTACTCTCAGATACTTAAGAACTGAGATTCAAGAAGAAAACTGGCACGGCTGCAAAAATTAACAGGGAATAAAGGTTTAGATGACTTTAATATTTGTTCTTAATCTGTAGCCAACTCTTATATGGAGCCTAGAATTCAGGGAAGGATGGTCTAGACAGGCCCTGTTAGCTGACCTACTCCATCTTCTAATCTAGTCTGGTTAGCAGGTGTTCTTGACCTTGAACCCCAGTGGGTGAGGGATGACCTGGGAGAACAGAGGGTACTCCTCACGCCACTCCTCGAGGCATCAATGTCACTGCTTCTACTCCTGTGAGAATCAGGTTGTAACGGTGCAAGAGGGCTTGGGATGAGCCCACCAAACCAGGCAGCCAGGCATTCCTGGGAACCAGAGGCCGGCCTCAGGACTACGGATGGTCTGAGGGCAGAAGTGTGCTCCAAAGAGAAGTGCAGGCCTGAAAGAAGGAAAGGCAAGAAGGAAAAGCAAAAAAGTTGCAGGAACAGGGAACGCAGATGAGGCTGCCAGGAACAGATGCCGAAAGATGTCTGTTGTTCACCAATAGCAGAGAAAGGAGCAGAAAGCAGAGCATACGGGGAAACCGGTGGGGTCTAAAATAAGTGGCTAGCCATGTCACCTGAAATTTTTAGGTCAAAGAATTTTATGTCACCAGTTTCAGAAGCCAGTAAAAACACTAAAACACAATGTTAAAACAATGACTGTTTGTTTTTGTTTTTGTTTTTGTTTTTCATAAAATACCTCACTTTCCCCTGCAAATCCTCCCCACCCCCCGCCCTACCCTGCCACATACATCCGTTGGGAGGGGACACAGGGAAGGGACTACCAGGCACCTAGGGCTATGGGGGCTTTTCCCCCTTCTGGTCATGAGCCTTGTGGGATGGGGAAGGGAGGAGAGAACAATACAGGAGGAAGAAGAAAGAGCAAAATGAAAAAGAAATAAAAGAGGGGAGAAATAAGGCCCAGGAGGGGGAAAAAAATTGCAATGGAAGTACAAAGTGAAGCAAGGAGGAAGGAAGTACAGTTGAAAACGTGGGGGGTCAGGGGCACTAACACCCCCACCCCTTGCAATCAAAAATTCACATATAACCTTTGACTCCTCCAAAACTAAACTACTAAGAGCCTACTGTTGACCAGAAGCTTTACTGATGACATAACCAGTCAATTAACACATATTTTGTATGTTATATATATTACATACTATATTGTTACAATAAAGTAAGCTAGAGAAAAGAAATGTTATTAACAAAGTCATAAAGGAAATATATTTACTGTATTGTATTGTATTTATCAAAAAAATAGCCATGTGTTGGGGGGGGCTCCGTTGGTGGAGCAGGTGACTCTTGATCTCAAGGCTGTGAGTTTGAGCCCCACAGGGGGGTTACTCAAAAATTTAAAAATCTTTAAAAAATAGTATCTGTGTGTAAATGGACCTGCACAGTTCAGACCTGGGAGCAAGAAGCACATGAGAGGTTTTAAAGAGGAATAATGATCATTTTTACCATCTAAACAGCAATACATGCCTTTAAAAAATACAAAATTACAGGGAAAAATTGTCTTTCCACCATCCAAAGATAATCAGTAGCACCAGACGGTGTCTAAATCTTGAAACTCTTTTTCCAAGCATAGAGGTTTGGGTTTTTTTCTTTTCCTATTTTAATTTACATATTTGTGACCATGTTTCTTTTTCTAACTAGACATGATAAGTATTTTCCCACGTTATTGCAAACACACTCTACTACAAAACCTATGAGAAAGCATGATAGTGCGTTGCAGGGCAGTTTCCAGAGCTGGACTCTTTGACCCCCCTCTCCCTTCCTGTCTCAGCTCCAGTGCTAGCTTGGGTAAATCCCTCTGTGCTTCTCATATTTTCTTATCTGAAAAAAGGAAAAAGTAAGGGCCCTGTTTCATAGGGTTGTTACAAAGATTAAATGTGTTCACAAGTGTAAAATACTAAAAATGATATGAAGTAGTAGAAAGCAAACACAAAGTATTACTCCCCCCCAATTCATTTCCCTGTTTCTGGTGTTGCTATTATAAATAATCCTTCCATCTTTCATTGAACATGTGTGCCCAGGCTTCTCCATTTAGCATTATTTCTTAGTATAATTGCTAACTTAAATTATATGAGTATTATTAAGGAAAGTGATACATCAGGCCATATTGGCTTTCAAAATGTTTCACCAATTTATTCTCCCAGCAGTATTGTATGAAAGCATGTTGGGGGAAAAATTAAAGCTGTATTGGTAGCTACATGTAGTCTTTAATTCTGTGTTGATAATTCACATCATCTCTCTAGACTAGGTTTAACACTGAGAGTCTGGCCTAATAGCTTAAGTGAAATTGAAGTATTTCAGGTCAGGGGCCAAGGAGCAGGCTTTGGATAGTCATCTGTAGCCACCATTCCAGTCAGAATCAGTTAAAGCATGCTTGGCAGCCATTTTGTTTTTATTAATCATGTCCTTGTGAAAGTTAGATGTGTGGGTCAGAAAATCCCTTGAGGCTGACAAAGGGCATATCTGCCTTCTCATTTCTCCTAATGTACTTTGCAAAGTTCATCCAGGTTTTATAAACATAAACCTGGACCTGCTCTCAAAAACATTCATTTCTTTTTTTTTTATTAACATATAATATATTATTAGCCCTAAGGGTACAGGTCTGTGAATTGCCAGGTTTACACTTCACAGCACTCACCATAGCACATACCTTCCCCAATGTCCATAACCCAACCACCCTCTCCCTATCCCCCTCTTCCCAGCAACCCTCAGTTTGTTTTGTGAGATTAAGAGTCTCTTATGGTTTGTCTCCCTTTCAATCCCATCCTGTTTCATTTATTCCTTTCCTTCCCCCAAACCCCCCACATTGCCTCTCAACTTCCTCATATCAGGGAGATCATATGATCATTGCCTTTCTCTGATTGACTTATTTTGCTAAGCATAATACCCTCTAGTTCCATCCATGTCATCACAAATAGCAAGATTTCATTTCTTTTGATGGCTGCATAGTATTCCATTGTATATATATACCACATCTTCTTTATCCATTCATCTGTTGATGGACATCTAGGTTCTTTCCATAGTTTGGCTATTGTGGACATTGCTGCTATAAACATTCGAGTGCATGTTCCCCTTTGGATCACTACATTTGTATCTTTAGGGTAAATACCCAGTAGTGCGATTGCTGGGTCATAGCGTAGCTCTATTTTCAACTTTTTGAGGAACCTCAATGCTGTTTTCCAGAGTGGTTGCACCAGCTT